AACGCATGACCGTCTCTGTGCCGCACTGTACAACGCATGACCGTCTCTGTGCCGTACTGTACACCGCATGACCGCCTCTGTGCCGTACTGTACAACGCATGACCGCCTCTGTGCCGTACTGTACACCGCATGACCGTCTCTGTGCCGCACTGTACAACGCATGACCGTCTCTGTGCCGTACTGTACAACGCATGACCGCCTCTGTGCCGTACTGTACACCGCATGACCGTCTCTGTGCCGCACTGTACAACGCATGACCGCCTCTGTGCCGTACTGTACACCGCATGACCGTCTCTGTGCCGCACTGTACAACGCATGACCGTCTCTGTGCCGTACTGTACAACGCATGACCGCCTCTGTGCCGTACTGTACACCGCATGACCGTCTCTATGCCGCACTGTACAACGCATGACCGTCTCTGTGCCGTACTGTACAACGCATGACCGTCTCTGTGCCGTACTGTACAACGCATGACCGCCTCTGTGCCGTACTGTACACCGCATGACCGTCTCTGTGCCGTACTGTACACCGCATGACCGTCTCTGTGCCGTACTGTACAACGCATGACCGCCTCTGTGCCGTACTGTACACCGCATGACCGTCTCTGTGCCGTACTGTACAACGCATGACCGTCTCTGTGCCGCACTGTACAACGCATGAGCGTCTCTGTGCCGTACTGTACAACGCATGAGCGTCTCTGTGCCGCACTGTACAACGCATGACCGTCTCTGTGCCGTACTGTACAACGCATGACCGTCTCTGTGCCGCACTGTACAACGCATGAGCGTCTCTGTGCCGTACTGTACAACGCATGAGCGTCTCTGTGCCGTACTGTACAACGCATGACCGCCTCTGTGCCGTACTGTACAACGCATGACCGTCTCTGTGCCGTACTGTACAACGCATGACCGTCTCTGTGCCGCACTGTACAACGCATGAGCGTCTCTGTGCCGTACTGTACAACGCATGAGCGTCTCTGTGCCGTACTGTACACCGCATGAGCGCCTCTGTGCCGCACTGTACAACGCATGACCGTCTCTGTGCCGTACTGTACAACGCATGACCGTCTCTGTGCCGCACTGTACAACGCATGAGCGTCTCTGTGCCGTACTGTACAACGCATGAGCGTCTCTGTGCCGTACTGTACAACGCATGACCGCCTCTGTGCCGTACTGTACAACGCATGACCGCCTCTGTGCCGTACTGTACAACGCATGACCGTCTCTGTGCCGCACTGTACAACGCATGACCGTCTCTGTGCCGTACTGTACAACGCATGACCGTCTCTGTGCCGCACTGTACAACGCATGAGCGTCTCTGTGCCGTACTGTACAACGCATGACCGTCTCTGTGCCGTACTGTACAACGCATGACCGTCTCTGTGCCGTACTGTACAACGCATGACCGCCTCTGTGCCGTACTGTACAACGCATGACCGTCTCTGTGCCGTACTGTACAACGCATGACCGTCTCTGTGCCGTACTGTACAACGCATGACCGCCTCTGTGCCGTACTGTACAACGCATGACCGTCTCTGTGCCGCACTGTACAACGCATGAGCGTCTCTGTGCCGCACTGTACAACGCATGACCGTCTCTGTGCCGTACTGTACAACGCATGACCGTCTCTGTGCCGTACTGTACAACGCATGACCGTCTCTGTGCCGCACTGTACAACGCATGACCGTCTCTGTGCCGCACTGTACAACGCATGACCGTCTCTGTGCCGTACTGTACAACGCATGACCGCCTCTGTGCCGTACTGTACAACGCATGACCGCCTCTGTGCCGTACTGTACAACGCATGACCGTCTCTGTGCCGTACTGTACAACGCATGACCGTCTCTGTGCCGCACTGTACAACGCATGACCGTCTCTGTGCCGTACTGTACAACGCATGACCGTCTCTGTGCCGTACTGTACAACGCATGACCGTCTCTGTGCCGTACTGTACAACGCATGACCGCCTCTGTGCCGTACTGTACAACGCATGACCGTCTCTGTGCCGTACTGTACAACGCATGACCGTCTCTGTGCCGTACTGTACAACGCATGACCGCCTCTGTGCCGTACGGTACAACGCATGAGCGTCTCTGTGCCGTACTGTACAACGCATGACCGTCTCTGTGCCGTACTGTACAACGCATGACCGTCTCTGTGCCGTACTGTACAACGCATGACCGTCTCTGTGCCGTACTGTACACCGCATGACCGTCTCTGTGCCGTACTGTACAACGCATGACCGTCTCTGTGCCGTACTGTACAACGCATGAGCGTCTCTGTGCCGTACTGTACAACGCATGAGCGCCTCTGTGCCGTACTGTACAACGCATGAGCGCCTCTGTGCCGTACTGTACAACGCATGACCGTCTCTGTGCCGTACTGTACAACGCATGACCGTCTCTGTGCCGTACTGTACAACGCATGACCGTCTCTGTGCCGTACTGTACAACGCATGACCGTCTCTGTGCCGTACTGTACAACGCATGACCGTCTCTGTGCCGTACTGTACAACGCATGACCGTCTCTGTGCCGTACTGTACAACGCATGACCGTCTCTGTGCCGTACTGTACAACGCATGACCGTCTCTGTGCCGTACTGTACAACGCATGAGTGCCTCTGTGCCGTACTGTACAACGCATGACCGTCTCTGTGCCGTACTGTACAACGCATGACCGCCTCTGTGCCGTACGGTACAACGCATGAGCGTCTCTGTGCCGTACTGTACAACGCATGACCGCCTCTGTGCCGTACTGTACAACGCATGACCGTCTCTGTGCCGTACTGTACAACGCATGAGCGTCTCTGTGCCGTACTGTACAACGCATGACCGTCTCTGTGCCGTACTGTACATCGAGTGTCAGCGAGAAGCTCATCTGATTGGCTGCATGATGAAGGTGGACCCGCCCTCCTCCTCGCGCTTGCAAAACTCAGTGAGTGAGAGAAATGGAAGTAAAATAATGCCAAATGTTTTTGAAACAAAAAAGCTTGTTGAATTGCACTACATGAAAGAAATAGGCTTTGCATTATCCATGCTTGCATTTTAATGCATTGTATTTTTAAGGCTTGCATTTTAATGTATTGTATTTTTAGGGCTTGCATTTTTAAGGGCTGAAATTCAACATGGTTGAATATTTAACCTTTGAATATTTCACTTTAAAACATTTTAAACACATTTTCATTATTAAAAATTCAGTAATCCATATTCACCTGTCATATTTAACTTCCAAAATATTCAAACTGTTTAAAAATACAACCTATAATATTCAACAGGCAATTTTCGGTCCATTTTATTTCGCTTCCACAAATTCAGTGGTTAAAATTCAACAGTAAATTCAACGTTGACATCCAGGAACTGCAGGAAAAGCAGTGGATTACCGAGCATACTGTCCATCTGCTGTTAGTCGACCTCGCCAGCAGGGGGTGCAAGCGCGTGTTGTTGACGAAGACCAGAGCAACAGTTAGAGCATTTTTAACTCAACTTACAATTTCACAAATCTACCCTGCGCATGCAATTCTTTATGGCATCATATTACCTTCATTCTCCGCCCTCTTCTGAACGGAGGCGGAGCTAAAGCTCATTTGCATTTAAAGGGACACACACATAAACGACGCGTTTTTGCTCACACCCAAGAAGGGGCAAATTTGACCAGCAATAATATATGATCTGGTATTTTGAGCTGAAATTTCACAGGCAGATTCTGGGGAGACCATAGATTTATATTACATCTTGTGAAAAGGGGCATAATATGTCACCATTAAGGCGCATAGGAGCGATTCATGGGACAGAGAACAGCTAGACTGAATATACAGAGAGTCCTGAACACACACATGTAATCCAGGGCAGCGCACATGTATTCCTTCAGTCTGCCACACAACAACCTTTATGCTTCGAGTGACTTCATATGACTGCTGTTTCCCAGGACTGGCAAAAAGTCTGCAGGAACTGAAATCAATGAACGCGTGCAGGAGTGAGAGATAGGATTCAGACTGCTAAAGGAAATCTATTCAGTGCTGTTTGCAGATTTTGTTCAGCACTTTCCGCACACAGAAGAAATAAATCCATGCAATGTCTATTCATATAAAAAGGCTTTGCAAGTTTATCAAATGGCACGTAATAAGAGCTGATGAATAGGTGTGGCAATGTGTGTAGGGAGGAAATTAAGACCCAGAGAGAGAGAGAGAGAGAGAGAGAGAGAGAGAGAGAGAGAGAGAGAGAGAGAGAGAGAGAGAGAGAGAGAGAGAGAGTGTGTGTGTGTGTGTGTGTGTTTGATGCAGGAGCGGCCGAGAGACTGTAGGCGGACCGTCAGTGAGTGTGTGAGTGTGTTCGGGACAGGAGACTGACTGCCACACACACTCCACACACCCGACTGAAGCAGAGAGTCACGGTAAGTGCTGAGGAAGGACTGCACTCATTATGTAACCGCATAAAAGCGATGAAAACAGTAATATACGTGTTGATCAATTTGGAACGCGAATGTATTGTTTATATATTGTTATCGAGATTTTTAGCGTATGTAAGGAAATTAGAAAAGCAATGTGTAGGCGACTATATATATACATATAGAAGCATTTAATAGAAAGAAAATCCACAATCGAAATCCACATAAAATAGCTTTTAATGCATTATATTGTTTTACATGTAAAGTGATATTATTGTCCCTATAGTTTGTCTATGATGCATCGAATGCATCGTTTGCCATATCAGACCGATATATTGCCATATGCAGTTTAAAAATGGGGAAACACAATGTACCACAAAAAATGCGATGATAGATAAAATATTACCCATGTGTAAAAAACAACAACATGGTTAATAGAAAGAAATCTGGCAATGATGCGAGTGAGCTCGTTTTAGTCTGATACATTTGTCAGAGTTAGTGTCTAATCATTTAATTAGCTAACAATTAAGTTCGTCTCTACTTCTTCCAGAGCGAGATGGATAGTGACGTGTAAAGGCTGGTCTGACAGGAGCTCGTCGGAGATCCACCAGTGACTCCCAGTGACTGATTAAACCAGGATGAGGGGAGGAGATCTCCGTGAATGAATGGCGCCTTTCATCGGAATCTGCACATCATCAGGCATGCGGACCGCAGAGGATCAACGCGCCTGAAGCCGAAGCCACCGCGAGCGTTCCCGACGCGCCGCGCCATGGGGATTCGACACTTTCTGCTGCTGCTCATTTATCTGGACCCGCTCAACGTGTTCTGCACCCTGACTGCCAAACGAGCCAAACCTGCGCCCAAAAGAACGCAGAAACCAAAGGAACTGAACGGAACCACCGTCGCGACGCCCGCGTCCACGCAGCGCGTCATCCAGGCGCGCGCGCACGAGACCTGCCTCGGGTACTACGACGTGAGCGGCCAGTTCGACAAGGAGTTCGAGTGCAATAACACCGATCACCGCTACTGTTGCGGGTCCTGCTACCTGCGCTTCTGCTGCCAGTTTAAAGGCAACCGGTTAGACCAGAGAACATGCAAGAACTACAACAAACCGGACTGGGTGAAAACTGCGCCCCCTTCCCCTACACCAACAGGTGATACTTACGACCCCAGCATGGACCAAACCAACACCGCGGTCTACATCACCTGTGGGGTCATCGCTTTTATAATAGTCCTCGGGGTTTCCACTAAAGTCGCTTATGACAAAGCAACCCAACCTCCTCAGGAAATGAACATCCACAGGTGAGCAGCGCACCTCCCGTAGTTCTGTAGAAACTGTAGTTCTCCGACACCGTAACAACATGCTCATATTCCTGTGGACTGGATTGAAGAGATCTGTCCATCTGCAGTATCTCGGTTGTTCCTCCATATGGAGCATCACACACTCTTACAGGGCTGTGTGTGTGATGTGTTTTTATATGCACCAGTAGCTCTCGAGCCAACAGCCTTCATCTAGTGTTAGAGGGAGAGGGTTTAGGGTTCGTTCGGTTTGGTCAGATTCAGGAGTGTGTATCCACAGCATCAGCAAGGAGGGCTTCAGAACATTTTAATTGCAAAGTTTTGGTTATATTAGATGTGAATGTAAAATCAATTTCCTTAATCTGTGGTTTCATAATGTCTATTATCTCACATCTGTTTTTTGTTCCTTTTGTTGCATTGCTGCAAATCCACCGTTATTTTTGAGAGTGTAGAATAATGTGATAATATAATGCAGAACTTCTTCCTTCATCCCATGTGAATGGCTGGGTTGAACACAGAGCTTTCGATTCACATTACATGGTCACAGGTGAACGTATAAAACGTTATGTAGTCGGACGTCTTGCTCTTGCTTTGAAAACGCTATCTGCTAAAAACTGGCCTGTATTATATAGTCTACGCTGGAACGCACAAATAAACAAGCAAACAAACAAACAAACAGAAAATGTATGTAATATGAAAGTGTGCTGTTGACTCTTCTGTCCGCTCAGCCACTGCAGGGCAACTAATGCAGAAATAATTGAATTTCTCAGGTAACGGTAAACATGAACAGAGCGAACTGTGACTTTCATAACGCAGCGAGTTCAGATCCTCTGGGCTTCCAGTGTTCTCCAGAGACGAGGCTCACTGATGATTAACACTTATTTATACACCAACCTTTCTTTCTTTCTTTTTTCTTTCTTTCTTTCTCTGCAAATCCAGTCAGATTAGAGTAGAGTAGAGAGGTGATCTTTCACCTGAACGTTGTAAGCTGATGTATTTCTCCGATTCTCCACAGAGCCCTTGCAGATATACTTAGACAACAAGGACCGATTCCTATATCTCAGTACGACTGTGAGAACTTTGCTGCGATGAACAGCTCCTCCAAAGACGACACGCCACAGCGAACGGGCTCCAAAAACCACTACACCCCCGTCCACAGCTCCAAATCCAATCACGGTGAGTGGCCTGACGCCAGGCTAACATCCATGCCTGGCTCTCCCACGGTTGTAGTGTTTGGTCAGTTTAATGAAACACTTGACTGATTTACCTGAGCTCTGTTCCAAAAGCTAGTGATGCTAACATCACACAACCTCGCAAGTCAAGTCAGCTTTATTTCTATAGCGCTTTTTACAGTACAGAGTGTTTCAGAGCAGCGTTACAGAGATAACAGGAGAATAATGCAACAAATTTTGTTTTCAGAAGAGAATAGCGTCACAGTCCAGCTTAAGTTCAGTGATGCTTCATTTCTGTTGTAAAAAAGTTATTGATTTAGTTCATTTATATATACAGCCGCTCTGGAGAAACCGTGATGTCATCGTCCAGCTCAGTTCAGTTCTCATATAATGCTGTCAATACAGGAGATCAATAATATTGTTGGATATTAAATTAAATGTCCCCAAGTGTCGTCCGATTCGGAACAATCTACATAATCATAAAAACACATAGCATGAACAAATAAAAATCTGTTTTTAATTACACTGAAGTGTTTTTAATACATAGTTTTTAGCATGATTTTTTATTATTATTATTATTTGTAAAGCATTTCTCTCGTCTCATCTGCCACCTTGGATTTTTTTTCTTCCTTGAATGCATGTACTCTGGGATTGCAGTCTGAGTATTTTGTCAAAGTGAGACATCAGAGTTGGCATCTTAACTAATCAAGCCACGTTTGGAAGAGTGTTTGCATCTGCACCTCCTATGATGTCTTAACAGCCGTCTCTGTGGGACGCTGGATAGACTTTGGACAAGCTTCAGTCACAGTTATGATATTGGCTAATGTGAGCATGAGTATCAGGGGCTCGTGTTGGACTGCGTGTGTTTCGCTGCAGGCCGTGTGCCAGACGCCTCCCAGCAAGCAATAGCCATCATTTCCCCATCTAGGTTAACTATAGACCCAATATAGTCCGGCTATGAGTAGGTTAACTATAGACCCGATATAGTCCAGCTATGAGTAGGTTAACTATAGACCCGATATAGTCCAGCTATGAGTAGATTAACTATAGACCCGATATAGTCCAGCTATGAGTAGGTTAACTACAGACCCGATATAGTCCAGCTATGAGTAGATTAACTATAGACCCGATATAGTCCAGCTATGAGTAGGTTAACTATAGACCCGATATAGTCCGGCTATGAGTAGGTTAACTATAGACCCGATATAGTCCAGCTATGAGTAGATTAACTATAGACCCGATATAGTCCGGCTATGAGTAACACACTTCTAGCCAAAATAAACTTGAGTTTGGTTACATGAATTTTTGCCAAAATAACTTGCGTATGATATTCCATCATGTAAGCAAAGTAAACAGTGATTACAAGGTGTTTTGTTTCATTTCTTCACTCATTTTATTTCACTCATTAATTTCACTTCTTCACTCATTGTTATGTAATTGATGACTAGTCTATTCTTGGGCTCTGGTTTAGACATCTATTAAATTTTCACTGACAGCCCAAATTTTGTTTTGGATTAGGCGTCTGGGCTGAGTTTGGACGGCTATTGATGGGTTATACATCATGTTGATCTCATTGCAGCATGTGTTCTTGTCATGTGATCCGCCAGGTTAACTCTGACTTCTCATGCCATATTTACATGGGAGTCCATTACAGATGAGCCGTTCAGAATTTGTGCTGAATTTCATTATGTTCAAGGTCACGGAGGGACTTTGTTGGACGTTCTCATGAGTTATGATCACGCAAATGGCAGCTTTGACTTAAGGGAGATAAATGTCACTCATATGGCAACAACCACAAACTGAAGGAGATTTATGTTGAACACCAATCTCTCCCGCAGATCTATAGCTCCTGAAACCCCTTATAAAGCACTCTAAGGGAGATTTATACTGCATATTTTCCTTAGCCTCATTACAAAGTGACCTTGAAGTGCAGGATGACGTAAATGAGAGCACTTGACCCCTGACCTGGGATCAGGGTCGATATGGCAGCGGAGGTCATGAGACGCTCGAGATCTTCTGGCTCTTTTCTCCATTCATTAGCTGTTGCAATACCAGTTTGACAGCATTTGTGGTATGATGATGATGATGACGATGATGCCGACCACAAAAGCAAAAATAATAGTTACAGTGAGGCCAATTTTGGAGGATTTTGGAGGAAACACAAAAATGTGATGCTTCTAATTATAAAACAGCACTTGCATCCTTCTTCTGTTAAAGAGTGTGTATTATTTGAGCTGCAAAGTTGCTCTCATCATTTACACGGTCGTTTTGGGGTTTTAGTCGTTATGTTGTCATGACAGTGAAGGTATAATTGGAATTATTTGTTACACAAGGATAATAAGCTTTTTCTTTTTCACCCACACTCATGGCAGCAGGTATATTGTTTATGTGTTGTGGCTATACTATTGAAACAGAGTTTATATTTTAACCCTTCGTAAGTGGCTCAGTGTAAGACAGATTTGTGCTTTTTCAGAATTATTCTTTGTTTTTACTCTAAATTCCTTTTGTGGTAATCAGCATTATTCCAGAAGTTGATGTTGAGCTGAGTTTGTATGAAACCCTTCACATGTACGCAGCTGTGTGTGTTGCATTCACGGTCTGGGTGACTTTGCCTTGTCAGATATCTCATTCCCGGTCAGCGAGGCCAGTGTTTGCCAGTGTTTTCCTCAGGGAGCGGGCCGGTCCCGGGTCGATGTTAAGGGCCAGTATTTGCCAGTGTTTTCCTCAGAGAGCGGGCCGGTACCGGGTAGATGTTAAGGGCCAGTATTTGCCAGTGTTTTCCTCAGAGAGCGGGCCGGTACCGGGTAGATGTTAAGGGCCAGTATTTGCCAGTGTTTTCCTCAGGGAGCGGGCCGGTCCCGGGTCGATGTTAAGGGCCAGTATTTGCCAGTGTTTTCCTCAGAGAGCGGGCCGGTACCGGGTAGATGTTAAGGGCCAGTATTTGCCAGTGTTTTCCTCAGTGAGCGGGCCGGTCCCGGGTCGATGTTAAGGGCCAGTATTTGCCAGTGTTTTCCTCAGGGAGCGGGCCGGTCCCGGGTCGATGTTAAGGGCCAGTATTTGCCAGTGTTTTCCTCAGAGAGCGGGCCGGTACCGGGTAGATGTTAAGGGCCAGTATTTGCCAGTGTTTTCCTCAGGGAGCGGGCCGGTCCCGGGTCGATGTTAAGGGCCAGTGTTTGCCAGTGTTTTCCTCAGAGAGCGGGCCGGTCCCGGGTCGATGTTAAGGGCCAGTGTTTGCCAGTGTTTTCCTCAGAGAGCGGGCCGGTCCCGGGTCGATGTTAAGGGCCAGTGTTTACTAGGGGTGGGGGAAAAAATCGATTCTTAGATGCATCGCGATGCGGACGTGGACGATTCTGAATCGATTCACAATTGTCAAAAATCGATTTTCAAAAAAAAATTATTATTAATAACGTAATATTGACGGAACGCGAAAGACGGAACTCTGAAGCGCGGAAGTGCAGTGGCCGGACCGTCTGTGGCGTGCACATAACAGACGCGGACGCGATGGCTGAGCGCCAAATCCAAACACCCTCCTCGTTAAAAGCTGACGTGTGGAAATATTTTGCCTTCTGAAGTTGAAGGGGGAAAGGAGCTGGACAAGAGCCACACTAGTTGTAAGCCTTGTAGAGTAAAACTAAAATATTTCGGAAACAAGACACATGAAGCCAAATGACACGTTTCCAGCCAGAGGAGGAAAAACACTCGGCTGTAACGTTACCGGTCGTTGTTATATTATTAATTTACTACAAATATGCTGCTGCTAGTTCAGACACACATGTATTTTCCTGTTGGTTCTTTGCAATGTTAATAAAATATATTGTACGTTAATTCTTTATGGGTCATTACTTTGTACTTTTAAAGCAAAGTATTTATAGTCACACACACACAAAAAAAAGATTCTGATAATCGATTTAGCATCGAATCGCAGCCCTCTGAATCGTAATCGAATCGAATCGTGAGGTGCCTAGAGATTCCCACCCCTAGTGTTTACCAGTGTTTTCCTCAGTGAGCGGGCCGGTCCCGGGTCGATGTTGAGGGCCAGTGTTTGCCAGTGTTTTCCTCAGTGAGCGGGCCGGTCCCGGGTCGATGTTAAGGGCCAGTGTTTGCCAGTGTTTTCCTCAGAGAGCGGGCCGGTCCCGGGTCGATGTTAAGGGCCAGTGTTTACCAGTGTTTTCCTCAGTGAGCGGGCCGGTCCCGGGTCGATGTTAAGGGCCAGTGTTTGCCAGTGTTTTCCTCAGAGAGCGGGCCGGTCCCGGGTCGATGTTAAGGGCCAGTGTTTGCCAGTGTTTTCCTCAGTGATCGGGCCGGTCCCGGGTCGATGTTAAGGGCCAGTGTTTACCAGTGTTTTCCTCAGTGATCGGGCCGATCCCGGGTCGATGTTAAGGGCCAGTGTTTGCCAGTGTTTTCCTCAGTGATCGGGCCGGTCCCGGGTCGATGTTAAGGGCCAGTGTTTACCAGTGTTTTCCTCAGTGATCGGGCCGGTCCCGGGTCGATGTTAAGGGCCAGTGTTTGCCAGTGTTTTCCTCAGTGATCGGGCCGGTCCCGGGTTGATGATAAGGGCCAGTGTTTGCCAGTGTTTTCCTCAGGGAGCGGGCCAGTCCCGGGTCGATGTTAAGGGCCAGTGTTTGCCAGTGTTTTCCTCAGAGAGCGGGCCGATCCCGGGTCGATGTTAAGGGCCAGTGTTTGCCAGTGTTTTCCTCAGAGAGCGGGCCGGTCCCGGGTCGATGTTAAGGGCCAGTGTTTGCCAGTGTTTTCCTCAGTGATCGGGCCGGTCCCGGGTTGATGATAAGGGCCAGTGTTTGCCAGTGTTTTCCTCAGGGAGCGGGCCGGTCCCGGGTCGATGTTAAGGGCCAGTGTTTGCCAGTGTTTTCCTCAGAGAGCGGGCCGGTCCCGGGTCGATGTTAAGGGCCAGTGTTTGCCAGTGTTTTCCTCAGTGATCGGGCCGGTCCCGGGTTGATGATAAGGGCCAGTGTTTGCCAGTGTTTTCCTCAGAGAGCAGGCCGGTCC